CTCTGAATAATATAAAAAATGTCATAACCACGCTACGCGAGCGAATACGTGATCGAATAAAAAATAATTAATTAATTTGTCATAATGTGCTCGCAAGCGAATCTGAAATCATGACAATCAATTATTTGTAATACTTTTAAAAAAAATACTATATTTGAGAAAATTAGCTCTTTTAAAATTTACAAGTCAACCGTCGCGCTACTCAAGCGAATGCGTGATCGACGAAATTTATTATTTAATCATAACGGCGCTACGCAAGCGAATCCGCAGTCATGACAAACAATTGTTAGCAAGTTATTTACTTCTAGGAAAATTAATACATTCTAAGGTTTAATTATTAATTTTTTTTTTGAAATTTATTAAAAGGTCAATTATCGCGCTACGCAAGCGAATCCGCGAGTTTGGCAAAGAGTTTATTAAACTAAAAATCAACTGAAAAACTAACGAATATTGTATACCTTGTTGAATTAAATTATTGAATGTTGAACATACGTTACGCCAAGCGAAACCGTGGAATAGAGCGCACCTACTAATTGCCTAGCGTCGATATAATTAATTGGAAGAAAGTGAGTTACTTAATTGGTATATAAAAAAAAATCTGATTTTTATTTCTATTTTTCTAATCTTTATTATTGAAAATATTATGCAAATAAATGTTGGACCAACTCTATCTATTTTAAGGGATGGGCCAACTTCTTTGTTAAAAGGGGAAATGGGCCAGCTTGTAAAGACTCTTGGGCTGCTGGAATTTATTACTAAAAAATGGGCCAAGAAATGGATTTTTATTGGCCCAATGCTATATAGAAGCAAAGGGTAATTTTGTTGTTTAAGGTAATGGGCCAAGCTTTTATTATTTTTGGTTCAAAAGGCCAAAGTTGATACAATATTGGTTCTTTAACTTAGTTTGCAATTTATGACCATTAACTACATAGCCACAATTGTATAAACACACCACTTTACAAAATAGCCACTTTTGCAAAGCTGGCAAAATGGCCAGATTAAAAAAAAACACTTTACAGAAATAGCCACTTTTGCAAAAATGGCAAAAATGGCCAGATTCAAGAAAAAAAACAGCAATCCTAGAAGCAATGTTGCATTGAAATTTCAGCAACTAAAACAAACTCATCGCTATGTGTTATACACCTAAAGTCATTCATGGGCATATTAACATTTGTTACTCGAATCAATAGCTTATCTCTCTCTTCTTTTTTTTTTTTATTTATCAAACCATTAATCAACTCTTGAAACTTATACATACAAAAAATAAGAAAAACACACACACACACACACACACACAAACACATATATATATATATATATATATAAACAAAGCAAAAATTAGGCATTTACAGCTGCCCCTCTTTGCTCGAGAACATGAAGAGTTTTCGTGCAAAGATAGTGAATGTCATGACTATCTCTTGCTCACCTATGACTCTAATGAAAGCGTTTTTGAAAAAGGGGTGACCGAACCTTGCTTCCGAGGTTGCCTACATATCCTTGGCTGTAAAGGAATCAGATCAGTGTAGTTCTGGAGAATGTTTTGGTAGCTGGGACTACCAGACACTGGAATTAAGACGGTTGTTGCTGTTGCTGTTGCTGTTGTTGTTGCTGTTACATGCTTCTTACATCAAAAGAAAAAAAAAAGGAAAAGCACTACATATGTCTGCAAACTAAGAGTACAAAATTCCTATCTACGTGTCTTCTGGAGTCAAATCTTGATTCTTGACTTGCTCGCTTGTGTTGACCTTAGATTGGATCTTGATTCTCTTTGAAGAAACGATTATGACTCAATCTCGATTGCTTGCTTTCTGGATCAGAATCTGAGAAAACGAAACTTGAGAGGATATGTTGCCGACACGTTGTTAAAGTTAACTCAAAACTATCCTGCGATCGCCCTTCTGATGATAAATGAAACTGCAAGCTTCGATCGGCATAATCTGTGCTCTGCGGCGAGGCCTGCAAAGTCATCAAAACGAACAAAACGAACAAAAATTTTCTGCCCCAGTTTGGACTAGAAAAATTTTGTGAGTTATTAGCGAAAGCTATAAACTATCTAATTTATTGAAGGCAAAGGAATTAAAGGTGGTACCCTGTATTACTAGGAAGGAAATGGAATCAGGTGTTAGCACCATGTATTATTGATAAAGTGCTGG